GCACTGAAGCACGTTATCGGGATCCGATAAGCTCCGCCTGAGCGTGTACAGAGCGTCTCCTTCGGAGTTTCCATAGACCAAGGGAACGAGGCTCACGGTTAGGGTTAGGGTCAACAAACAGCAGGCCGCCGCCATGGCCATGGTTGACTCTGATACAGCTAGCTCTAAGAAGAAGATTCCTGAGAAGATTCAAAATCTCTTCAGCTTTCTACAAAATTTGTACTTGCAATAGGGGCTTTGCCTTTAATCTTTAATTACTTTTTTCCTGTTTTGCGTTTTGCGGGTTTTGGTTGTTTGTGAGAGAGACAGAGACAGAGACAGCAGAGTCAAAGGGTCAAGAGAAGGAAAATGAGAAGGATCGGCTTTGGGACTCACAGAGTAAAAACATGGTCTTTTCTTAAATCATTTTCTTTCTTACCTTTTTATTTTTATTTTTTGTGTTGGATTGGATTGGATGATATGATTTCTTCATTTCTTCTTCTTTTATTACTCTGAGTGGTGGTGGATGAACTAATGGAGTTGTTCCACTTACCAACTACCACTGAAATGAAATTCTCACTACTTTGCCAAAAGAACATTTAAGAGTTTGGTTTTCTCTTCTCATTCTTATTTTATGGGGAATTAGGTGACTATCTCGAGCCTATAAGATTTTAGAAGACTTTAAAAATTCGGGTGTATTTAATTTGGATTTTATGAACTTTTAAAGAGTGTATAAAAGTTTGGGTGTATTAAATTCAAATTTGTATGAACTTTTAAAAAGTTCATAAAAATCTCGGTGTATTCAACTACCGTGAGTTTGGAAAAATGAAAAAATAAAACTTGGGATTTCATGATTCCAAAAGGAAAATTCGTGCATTTGGCAAAATCAACTCAGGATTTTGCAAATCAGATGCTGGAAATAAGGAGGGATTTCCTAATCCAAAATCCCAAGTTCAAATCCTATCATAATGGGCAGAATTTTGCAAATCTCAAGTGCGGCGGGAATTTCATTTGATGCGCGCCAAACAATGACGGAGCTAGAATTCTTAGCATGGAGTTGCCAAAATTTCAAAATGACTTCCACATAGGTTTTTCATCTTCAACTGAGAAAGGGCCAGCACTAATCTAATTGCAGTAATTGTATTACTATATTATATATTTTATAATATATTACAAGTGGGCTAGGGCCTTGGCAAGCCTTGCTATGGGTCCATCCTTGAAGCCGAATCTCTTCACTAGATATAGGAGGCCATACCCATATCTGCGTTTGATATTCAATTTAATCGTCTTTTTTATCTGATGGAATCTCATCTTTGGTTTTCAGATTATTGCTCTCTCT